TAGTTGAACTTGTGGATAAAATGTTTTAACTTTATACATTTTTTTACCTAATATTTTACCCTGTTCAGTATAGTTTGCTGAAGATGGAATATGTTTATTCCGAAACGTTCAATAACAAAATGTTTGTTACTGTACACACACACGTGTGTCAAATGTTCATTGTTGCTGCTGTCGTTCTACTGTTCATAATTAAATTTCGATTCCCGTCGAATGAATCTGATCCTAAATATCATGTTACTAGTAAAAGGTACTAATGTACTGGTATTCCTGTGATATGATTATTGATGTTTGCCTTTCAGGCATTGCTTAAGGTATGATATGATTATTGATGTTTGCCTTTCAGGCATTGCTTCGTTTAGCCTCCAGATATGCGAATAGAAAATGTATTTTATTTTGTATTGATTATTGACAGTCCTCTAAATGTGTTTTATTTTGTATTGATTATTGACAGTCCTCTAAATGTGTTTTATTTTGTATTGATTATTGACAGTCCTCTAAATGTGTTTTATTTTGTATTGATTATTGACAGTCCTCTAAATGTGTTTTATTTTGTATTGATCATTGACAGTCCTCTAAATGTGTTTTATTTTGTATTGATTATTGACAGTCCTCTAAATGTGTTTTATTTTTTAGTTTATAAATGAAATGTGATTCGGACGAACCTTATGGCAAAACGTCCCTATTCAAATTTAATATTGAATAAAATACAGACCCCCCCCCCCATCTTTTTAATGTTAGTTATGTTTGTATTTTTGGGAATGGTGGCTGTATGAATCGCTTATCACTTCTGCAACAGCATAATGAGATCGCTTTGAAGAAAGCAAACAAACAAAACTTAATGATGTAATATAGTAGTTCCAATGTTTTTCTTTATTTTTCTCCAGAAATCTGTTGCACGCGCTATGTTCAACTGGAGAACTGGATAGGGTGAAATGATTTATGTTTCTTCTTCATCGGGATTTGGACCAGGGAGGGTCAAGTTCAGCGTTTACTTCTTCCTCCCTCTCACGAGTTGTTATTTTGTTTGCACTGTTACTGAATCCTAGGTAATAACCCTTGTTACATGTTGTTGTTGTTGTTGCCTAACTCACAGTATGTTAAATTTTATCCATTGTCCGCCGTTTTAATTAACATTCCATTTTCGTGCCACGTCCAATTCATGGGGTAATATTAACTCGTATATTTTCACTAGCTTCACTTATGTATGATCACACCATTAGTCCACGTTCACAATACAGTTCCACTTAGCGGTTATACACACATACACACACACATA